TGTGTGTGTGTGTGTGTGTGTGTGTGTGTGAGATAAAACGCACCACTGAAAGCCATATAGTTGTCTCTCCTCATCGAAAGTGTGGAGATGTACCCGTTCCAAATCAGTGCTGGCGCTCGGGGGAGGGGGTTCACAATACGGCCAATCAAGCTACGCCGATTGGTTTGGCTTACTGTAGAGTGATTAACTATAGTACAAACTCAAATTGACATTTCCTATCGAATAATCATCACATACTCTGTTTTGGTCAGTCTAAAATCAACCAACTATGAGACCAACGCTCATTTCTGTCGATCATTCTATACATGGGTCGCATTTCTCTATGAACTGTGTCCTGGTTGATACTGCTCATTGAAGGTTATACAATAGTTCATGCGCTTTACCGTTCACCGAGGGGGAGGCGACAAAGCTCTCCGTAACTTTTTATTAGGTTTCTGCTACTATGAACTCTGAACCACCCATCTAGTGATACTTAAGGTCATAACCAATGTATATCATGGCCACGGTTCTGTTCTTCCGTCGTCTCTGGAAGATCAGGATGATTGTTGGGGTGGAGGTAGTTTCAGAAATAATAACAGCGTCAACTTCAGTTATGGGTACACGTCCCAACGCTAGGTCTATCGCCCAAATCCAATCCCACGAAAAGACTTGACACAGACGGATCTCCAAGACACCAGATTTCGATCAGTGACGTCAATATAAAGAGGGATATTTTGGCACTCGTTGCCTTCTAACTGTGACTTGAATTTTGTTCTTGAAAAATTATCTTGAGACAAGCTACACTCCGTAACTGAAACGTCAGTTGGTCACCAGCTCTGCTCACAGTGCAGCCATTGACAAACAAATATCAAGTCAATCGAAAACCTGCTTTAATTCACCCCATAGGGGATAAACAAGTTAAAATAGCATAACCGTATTATACGCCACATGGTGAATGGTTTTCTCGATACACTCCGAACCTCAATCGGTTTTGTTAAAATAGAATCTGATTTGATAAACTGATGAAAACAGGTTCCCTGGTACATTAGCTTCGTTTGCACCTGCTCGTCGAGTCTAGCTAACTTGTTCGCAAACGTTGCCCCGCTAACCAAACATAAATCTCTAATGTCAGTGGATGGTTAAACAGTGTTTTTCAGTTTTCAATCAAAAGCTGCCGGGATAGTAAAAGCAACGAAGCTAAGCGACAGTGGTGGAATTCGAAACCACAACCTCTAGGTCGCGTATCCTTGTGCTACCGTAATAATATCTTTTTAAAATGCCTCTGATGTGACGGGCAGTGAAATGATTGAATCCTCTAGTCACCAGGGGTTAATATTGAGTGGGGTTTCATACAACAATAAGCCCACTGGGTTAAGCGTGATACGTTGCTTATTCTTATTGCTGTAGTTTTTATTGTTTTCCGATAACTAGAATTTGTTTTGTGTACCTATAGTTGAACTTCATATTTGGTTCATTGTCTTCGTACTAATGGAGTGAAGTCCTTGTGGACAAGTTCGATTATGTTCCGAAAACAAATAGTCGTACATGTACGTCACACTGCCGGAATCTCACTGTGCTTATCAAGTTCTGCAACTGCAATACACATGTGTATGACCGAACTCAAAAGGCACTCACTTCGGTTGTTGGCGGTTAATAGTAGTTAATCCACAAAGCTAAAAACGAAACACTGCATTGATTCACACATGGACTGCTTAGGAACAACGTGTCCACAAGAATTGCCCATGTCCTAGATTAGAAATTTGTGAAGAAAATATAAATCCAGGATTCGACTATCCGAATACCAAAGTGAGAGTTAGGCTTGCCGGGGTGGGGGTGGCAAACATCGTGAATCCGATAATGTGCTACCAAGTTAACTTCGTCCGGTCATTCAGACACGACATATTATGTCACATTTCGGAAACGGCATTCAGCCAAGTTTGTTGCAGTTTAGAGACATCAAAAGCGTCGAATCATAGCATTGGTTCACCCATGGGATGTTTAATAAAAAAAAACACCTGCAAAATCTACGTCCCATGTGGCAGATTGGAAACTGGTGATGAATATAATTATTGTTAGAGTTCAAAAAGTGTCGAGCAAATCATTACACAACAATCTTTACAGCAGTTGTCGCAAGGTGCTACTCACATTCGTGAATAGTTTTAGTGCGCGTAAAAGCCGTTGCAACTTAGATGTTTTGTTCTGTGTAGTCTTAAATAAATCTCCGCAGCCCTGAACTGCCATCTGGAATCATAACACAGGGATCAGTCTATGATGTGACGGAAAGAGGAATACCACTAGGTTTGCCAGGCCAAAGCAGATGTTTTTTCTTGAAGTATCCGCAACTGCAGTCTTTAGCTGACCAAAGCCTGAACCGCAAGGGAGCGGGTTCGTGTGTGAAAACGCAATCCTTTCATCTTCTGTATGCAATCAATCGAATCACATGGAGAAGCACAAATGTTCAAGGTACCGCATATATATATATATATATATATATATATATAATGCTCAGT